CGACATTGAATTCCTCCGTCCGGATGCAGAAGGTCCGACCAGGGTTATAGGTAGCATACATCATTCTTAGAAGGTGGAGGAGATCGATCCGAGAACCATATTCAATCATGCCGCCCTTTTCCTCACTGAGGCCGGTTCGCGGAACGTAGCCATGCTTCAGCATCATGAGATCTCGATTCTTGAGCACACATCTCTGACTTGACTCGGAGTCTTCTCATGAGTAGGTGTTCTTCATTCAACCCTGTGCTTTTGAGGGCATCCCCTGTGTCGCAACCCTGACTCGGAGCTGAGTCTTGCGAAAATTCGTCTGTCCATATTCCACCGAGCGAACTCCTTGAAGGGGCAGCGTCCTTCACCGAAGGAGAATACTCCGATATCTCCCTTCAGTGAATCTGGCCAGAGGCTGTCTAAATAAAATCACCCCCTATACCAAGTAATTTTCTCAGACCGCGCTTTCGTCGGCGACGGCAAGGAGAGCAGCGTCCTTGTCGAAAGATTCGTGGATTGATATTTTGGATCGAGCCTCCGTCTAGCCGCGGACCGAGAAGAGGAGCCCGCGAAAGCGGTGGATGCACTCCTCATCCCCCAATGTTTCAACCCGCTAATTCAGCGGTGTCCCAATCCGGTACACAGATAGACAAGAGATGAGAATCGATAGAATTACGAGTAGATTTCCATCTGTACTATCACTTGAGAATCCGCAGATCACGCACGATCCCGGAGCAGCGACGACAGAGCGTACAATTGCTCGCAGTCCTCGGTTCGGAGCGGGGAGCGCGATGCCCGAGAAGTGAAGGTTATGTTGGTGACGGTGGACATCCGTAGATAAATAGACCGTACTCGTCTGCGACCTGTGTATGCAGGATCTAATCCTGTTAAAGACTTCTCAAGATATTAGGACGACGTCGAGAAAGGTCTTGAAAAATCCCCAGGGTGCCCGAGTCAGGGACTCAGGCGGTATGTGGGCGTAGAACTACGCGAACACGGAACACGTAGTTCCGTGAGTTCGAAGATCTGCAAAAGATTTTCGATACTACCCTCCGGTCGACGAAGGGTATCACGAGATTTCCTCTGGCCGTTGTTCGAAAGACGCTTTTTCAATTTGAGGAAAACTAGATCAAAGAACTCAACTGCGGGAACGGGATTCGGTCGGTAGCAACCTTCGAAGACTTCGGCAAGTTTTCTAAACTCAGAAATGTTGACGAATGACATCAAAATCTGCTTATTACTCAACCGACAAACTCCAATCGGATATACGGACGGTCCGATATCTGCACCGAGTGCGGCGTCGTTTTCCGCTTGGCAACCCGCAATTCGGACAGCAACCGGTACGTGACCGAGTGCCACACTTCCTCGTGGAGGATATAAGGATTAAAGAACATCGCGACTATGCGTATGAAAGGTACATTAGATTCCATGACTACCATCAGTCCATATGAACTGAAGAACGCGCGAACATCCTTTTCCGCTGTCATTATACAACCTCAACCGGAGGTGTTAGTTGTCTTGTCTGAGGAAAGTTTCAACGATTAATTTAGCAAAAACTGAGGCGATCCTGAAGAAATTGATCCATCCCTAGCGGAGGAGAGACTCTCCGCCAAATATATGTTTAAAATCAGGAAGAGGGAATTTCTGGGTCAATCAATCGACATAGCGTTTCCAGAACAGTCGATTGGGACTAATCAAGGTATGCTGAGGGTTCTTGCCCTCAGTTTTTCAGCCTCCGAGTCTTCGTTCCGACGTTCTGCGAGAACGAGCCTACTCCTTGGCCTGTATTTTATGAAATAATCAAGATAAGGGGGAAATTGAGTAGCATGAAGGGTGCCTCATTCTCAGCCGGACATATTCAGCCATCACCATTTTCATTGTCAAGCGCTCTGTTTCAGAGAAATAAGCTCGACAAGTTTGTTACACAGGTGAGTCGCATAGAAAAAGTGCGTAAGCCTTTAGCAGACGACCCCAGCACATACGCATGCTATCTCCGCAATTTCGAAGCTCGAAATTCGAGCTTTGGCCCCCAATACTCCCCATTGAAGTTGGTGCCCGTCACTGGGGGCTATAGCGTAGTTCTACGCTAAAAGTGACGTATCACTCATCGACGGAATCAGATGGTACTCCAGAGCGGGTAATTGAGGATTTTCGAGGTGAGAGCTGTGATTCTCCCGCCCGAATCGGCGATAGAATGCCTGAGGGTGCCGCTAGTTTGCTTCAGTAATGAGCAGAGAGAGGAGGAGCTCTCGGAGAAACACCCGATTCTCAGCCTAGGATCCTGCACACATATCGACCGATTACCAATTATATGGCTCTCGCTAAGGAACCTTCCACTTCTTTTTTGTCGCCTCGACAGTAGAATCTCTCATCGCTTTATTTGTCCGCTTGTGGTTTCCAATCAGGGATAGCGGTCTACCCTCGGACGAGAAGATTTCAGCGACATTCACCTTGGGAGACTTTTTCTGGGGCTCGATGCCTCGGGCTCTCTTGACGCTGTGTCGGCGCAGCGGTCGATTCCGAATTTTTTCAACCTCCCTGACAATTGCTATCCCGATTCTCCGAGGCTCTTCCGAGACGCGTTGGTTGATTTTCGAATTTCTCCCGAAACTTCCAGAGAATCGCTTGCTGTGCTCAAACTCTCAAGCTTCTATCAGTCTGTCTTGGCGCCATTCGATGGTTATCAATCAGCCCTTCGTCGGGGCTATCTCAGAGGCGCGTGACGATTCATTCCCTCGATCGCGGGATTTCTGCTTTCCGAATTCTCCTCGCTCATGACGTTTCGTGTTTTCCCTTGCCTCCGAAGATGCTTAATTCGTCGATACAATGCTGCGGTGTGCGAGCGTGAGTCCGACCACGATTCTTCGAGGCTCGAGGGATGGGTGAGGTTCTGTGTGAGATTGTGATCGGATTGATCTTATCCTTTCGAATACATTGGCTCTTATTGAGTTTTTCCGTGATCGCCGATTTCTAAACTCGACTCCCCTGCGATGTAACTGGGGAGCTCATTTTCCGCTCCTGAGTCGCACATTGAGGGGGCTCACCGTGTTCTGCATCGGTGATATCATCGGCGAGCTTCTGGATCAGGATCTGACCTCGAATGTTGCTAACGATTCGAGCCTCGATTCTTATTGTGGAGGCCTCGACCGCCTCATGGAGGAGGCTATCACAACCCCGGCTGCTCTGTGCCTGAGACCGTTCAAGAAGAATGAGCCTAGTCCAAACGCTCCGAGGTCGGATGGGTTTTCCCGTATGGAAGTCATACATCGGTACACGGGCACCGTTGAACAGCTGTTCCACCCGGAAAAGGATAGTTGAGGCACTTTGAGCGTCTCAACCGCTTCGTCCCGTATCCGTCTGATTTCCGCGAAACGGTTGTCCGTAGCTCTTGGGTGAGGTCGCTAACAGGGGCTTATCGTGAATCGAGCGCCATTCGATCGAGCTCTTGATGATATCTCGGGTACCCTCCTTCGGGCTAATAATCGCTTCTGTCATCCTCTAATAAAGCATATTGTGATCATCCCCAAGTCGGCTCAGCACTCAGCGAGGCCAGCCGTCCCGCTCCTGTTCCCTCGATGATTACAGTCGCGGATTGAGCGAGAAGCTCGTGCTCAGTCCGTGAAATCCATATCCATCGAGGACTGAGAAGAGGCAATAAAGTTTCGAATGGACTTCTGGAACGAGGAGACATAACCGTTTCAAGAGCGCCCCGGCGAGCGGATGGCTGAAAGTTGGCAGTGGGAATCGATCCCGGAATTCGTCGCAAGTCGTTCGAAGAACGTTCGAGTTTCTCCGTTTTGTGAATGGATCCTCGGGGAAGATTCGCTTCCGGGAAACTTGCGCGACACGGTTCCGGTTCCTGGTTGCTCCTTTCCGTCCCCCTTTTGTATCAATCTCGCGCATGCCGATATCCGTGGCGCATCTATTTTCAAAACACGATCTTGCATGCCCTAAAAAACCTTTCCTCCCCTATTGAATTTCAAGCCGTCCGTCGGGCTGCTCTTCCTCGTTCTGCCGATCGTGAGTCATGAGTCTAGATGGACAGCCATGCTTCTGGTTGATCTTCTCTCCCTATTTTTCTGGCAATAGTGTATCTCTCTTCTAGGATAAGCTCCAGCCTGGTCTCTCTACGTCAATTGGCAATCGGATCCATGTTGTTTATCCCTCCTGCATTCCTTCTCGTTTGGCTGATGACTTTTCTCTCGGCGGCGCGCCACGCGCGTAAGTCGTGAATAGTGCCTTTCAAAAACGCGTTGCAGTTCAGATCGAGATTTCGGTTTCAAAAAATTTGGACGGTCTGAAAAATTTTTTTCCATCATTCGAATCAAAGGAGCGCGATCTTTTCTTCCAAATTCCAAAATTTGTTTGCATTCACATGGAATGCATCGAAAAACTCCACGATCAACTATCTCGGCTGCTCTCGCAGTGGAGCAATCCCGATTTCCTCAACAGCCTCGGATTGAGCGGTTCGAGATCTCGACCTCGCAGTGCGAACTAGCTATGAAAGATTTTAGGTTGAATATTCGGAATTCCAACACTCGGTCAAACTCGAGAATCTTCCTTCACGAAGATCGACACCGGTCGCTGCCGGTTAGTTTCAGCTCACGATGTAGGTGTGTTTTCTCGGGGCTCGCTTCCTGAGTACTTCCGTCGTTTAAGCTATCCGACGGAGAGCTCCCAGAATGTTTGTTATCCGTCCCTGGCGGGTTAGCGTCAGCCATGGGAATGTCTCGAAGAACATGAAAATCAAGCGAGAGATCAGTTCTCCCGAAAGCTGTGTAGCTTTGAGCTTCAGACTCTGAAATCCTAAGTGAGCGTTCTTGCGGCTGCAATTCTCGGATCGGTCCGAGCCTTGAAACTTTGAGAAGTATCTCGGCTCAACCTCCAAAACAACCGATTCGAAGTCCATCTGAGTATCGAAATCGCTCCCGCGTTCCTCGGGTTCTTTCGGTGCTGTGCGTTGAATGGGCGTTCCTCCGGAATTCCTTTGTGTTTCGACCCTTTAGGTCGTCATGTCGAGTACGAAGGAGCCCCTCTACTGCCTCTGTGGCCAGCCGTATGACCCAGAGCGCTTCATGATACAGTGTGATGTCTGCAAAGATTGGTTCCATGGAAGGTATGTAGGTCGTCGTTTGTTTTGTTTGTTTCGATCCATCGTAGAAGAGCGGCGAACGGCAGAGTCTGCTATTGTGCCTCGTGAATTGTGAATGATGCGAATTCCACTGTCGTACTGTAAACTTATCGCCGACATTAGCAGAACTACCCGAAGTCAGGGACCGTTGTAGTTCCTTGGTTTCGAAGTTCCGGCGCTGGAGAGATCCGCTCCCGCTCGTGCCATTCATGCTGCTTCATCTTCGGCGCGCGCTGTTGCGGGCCTCTCCGACCGTTTCAAAAGTCTCAAAATACTTCAAGAGTCAAATACCGTCACAGGGACGAAGCTCGACTCCGGGCTCCCGTCGCTCGAAAGGAAAGATGGCAACGTCACTTGACGATGCGCAAATCGAACGCATGGCGCGGAATTTCACCAAATGGAAACCCGTCAGTCATCAACCGATGGCACCGAGACAGCATGAGATAGAATTCTCGATAATGACATTCAATATTCTGGCCCAAGAGAATCTCGACAATCACCCAATAGTCTACCAAGATATCAAGCGCGAATTCCTCCCGTGGGAATACCGACGCGGAAGGATCATCGAGCAGCTGCTCCGCCAGAACTGCGATGTTCTTTGTTTACAAGAAGTACAAGCGGATCACCTGGAGGATTTCCTTGGGCCGCGTTTGGCTCGAGAAGGCTACGAGTATGTTTTCAAATGCAAAACTGGAGGTAAAAACGAAGGATGTGCGGTTTTCTGGAAGAAGAGCGTCTTCGGAATCCTCAATGTATCGCAGGTGGAATTTCTCAAGCCCGGTTGTCGAACACTCAATCGTGACAATGTGGGATTGGTAGTTACTCTCACGCCGCTCGCAAATCGCCAAGCAAAACTGTGCGTCGCAACAACCCACCTACTCTTTAATCCGAAACGCGGAGACGTGAAGCTGGCGCAATTGCGGTACCTCATGGCCAACGTGGAGGAAGCCGCTTTCCTCGGCGTTTCCCGAGCCAACGGGCAACTAATTTACGCACCGACGATTCTCTGCGGTGATTTGAATGCAACTCCTCACTGCCCATTGTACAGGTTCGTCGTTTCTGGGAAGCTTGAGGTCGATGGTCTCTTGCACGGTGAAATTTCCGGACCTCGCACCGGAACCGTCATCAAGCCGGAAGAGGTTCACGTCGGAAATCTATTGCCGAACACGATTTTCGAAGACACTTTCGTATCCCGTTTCGGAGAGCAGGCCCTGGATTCCTTACAGTACGCCTTCGACCACAATATCATCTCCCACACCTTAGGGAAGTTCCAGTCGTGTTACAGCCACACAAAGAAAGGCTTGCCGGAAGTATCAACGTACGTCGATAATGCCGAGACGGTCGACTACATCTTCTTCCAAGCATCGAGACTGCTGCGGCATACTGCCACACTGGACTTGATGGTCAAAAATGAGCTAGATGCTCTCGGAAGCATACCGAATGCAGCGATGGGATCAGACCATCTGCCTCTGGCGAGCCGTTTTATCTTGAAAGGAATCCCGGCCGACTACCTCGACCGGTGAAATTTTGTGTCCTGAGTTCCGATTCGGGGAAATATACAACGCTTGAGGAGGAGGGGTAGTTACTGCAGAGGGAATGGAGAGATCATCAAGTGAATAAAAAATGAGTCTGCGCAGATGCTTGAGCGCAGCGTATTTAAATTCGAGACTCGGTCCGCTGAAGCTATGCGATAGAATATGTAGGAAGAAATCACTGCAAATAAGCATGCGATTGAGCCGGGTATCTTAGCGTGTCGACCTTGGTTGGACGGAAAAAAGAGCACTCGACGTTTCCCCATAGGAAGAAAGTTATCTCTCATGATGCTCAAACGCCATTTTCCACATTTCCTCATGAAGTAGGCTCTCGAGCACTTCGCCTGAAACGATGCTCCAGAATGAGAATTGGTGTCGTTCGATCCGCAAGATCGGCCGCTGAAAAAACTCCAACACAGGGAAAATATCAGAATGAAGAAACGACCCAACGGAGGTCTCCCGAATCATTCCTGAGAGTTTTTTAGGCAATCCCAGGGCTTCAGTCGCCCGAGGGCTCGATAGCCTTGGAGTCTGATTGGGCTTTCAAAAGCAAGAATACACCGATTGCGTGCAAGCTTCCGGGAAGACCTGCGGAAATGAACCGCGGAAACAGGGCATGAATCCTCACGGTGATTCGTGAGCCTGTTCGCGAGAGAGATGGAGAAAGGATGAATGCGAAAGCACGCGTCTATCTGTATCATCGTCGTATATTCGAGAAAGCATAATTCTGAAGATATGCATGTCGGATCCGACTCCTCCTCGCGAGAATGACGCGTATCGTCCCGGCTGCATTTGGTTAAGAACCGCTCTCAACCAGAAGTCCGACGATATCCAGTGTTCTCGTTTTCGCAGCGCGGGAGCGACCGCGCGGAACTAGAGCAAGACTTCGGCGGAGCGAGTCTGAGGAATCTGACTACGTGTGTGAACTCGGGGAGGAGCCTGCTCCCTCCGGCCCGTGCAGCTTCTCACGTAGACACCCGTTCCGGCGACAACGGCATCCTTGGAAGAAGCCTGCTGAGGAGCAGCCGAATCGGTTGTTGGCCTTCCCGAAAGCTGAACGGCACGTTCGGAGCTGGCAGCTAATTGTATTTCGAATGAATGATTTGCTTCAATTCACCGATTGTGGCGCGTTTTCCAGCATCGTCCTCCCTCCTCGTCGCTGTTCGTGGTGGTGAGGTTGCAGGCGGCGGCGGCGGCGGTAGCCGACTGGCCGACTGGCCGGCTAGCCGGCGTCGACGTCGACGTCGCCGATGATGATAATCGTGGTTGGTGGTGGTGTCGGTGGTGGGAGCCCTTCCTCGTCGTGTAACGAACAGCCTCCTCGCCATTTGCGTCACGCCGACGTCACAAACGGCCCCGCGGCAGCGTCCGCAGATGAAACTCGCCTGATGTTCGGCTTCTCGTCAGTCTGTATCGTTTGGAATCGCATTGTCGACGCTGTCTCTTCCTGATCCTCTCCAGCAAGACTCGGTGTTCCAGAACCGAGCGAGCTCCTCGCCCCGGAACCAGCTCAATAAGAAGCGGTAGAGCGAGCAGCAGGCTGTCATTCAAAAGCAGCTTCAATAGCTACCGGTGCCCGCCCGCAGCAGCATATCACTGCGACAATTACTACTTGAGTGCTCCGAACGAGTCCACGAGTTTCGAAGGCGGAAAACGAGAGGATTTCTGCGAGCGATCACTCGTCTCTGAAACCTGGCCGAACGCACGCTCTGGATTACGTTGATCCCGACGGCTGCTCATGCGATTCTGCTCTCGGTGGTTTCATCGACTCGGTGTCGTTGTAGGCTTTTGGTTCCACCGCAGCCATCGCCTACCGATAACTACCCACCATTAACTGCTTCTCCGCTCCCGCATCATCATCGACAGTGTCTCCTGGAATACTTTACTTTGAATCTCTAATCCTCCTGCAAGTCCGTTCGCCAGCCAGCCAGCCAGCCCGCCCGCCCCAGCTTACATCCGTCCGTCCACTTGCCCGCTCATCCGCGTGACCGTTCCGGCTCCTTTCGTCCATTTGCCATCATCCGCGCTAATCTGACTTTGTGAACGGAGCTCCCTGTCACACTCACACGCTTACACCTACACACTCGCCGGACACGAGTCGAGTTAGCGATGAATTCATCAGCTGTGCATGTTGCTTTGTGTCGCATGAGCGCCCTAGGCGTGGCCCCGGCCGAGGAAGAGCCCCGAGCACTCAGAGCAACTTTCTCTTTTAGAGATCATCATCGCCTCCCCGGGTCGCCGTCGCCGCAGGCGTCTCTATCTGTTGTCCATCAAAGCTGTGCGTCGAGCTTAGAATCGACAAGCCCGTCGTTCCTGCAATCATCTTCGATTTCACAATCACCATTGACGTCGTCCTGTTCATCGTCACCGCCAGCAGCTGCAACCCCAGCCACGGCAGTGCCCTTGACAAGCAACGATGCGGCCCTAGCCCCAGCTGCGGTACCGGCTGTCTCGTCAGAGACACCTGCACTTGAGAGCGGGTCACAGACATCTGCCAAAACGGAAGTTCAGAAGATGCCTCTGCCCACCTCGACCGAGCTGCTCGACCACCAGATCGCCGGCCACCGTCACGGTGAAGGGAAACACAAGCTGGGCATGTTGCGGCATAAAGACGGGTCCATTCTCAAACCTCTGGTGCCCAACGACGCCAGAGCCGGACGGGAACACGAGTTCTATTTGATGCTCGAACGACACCGTGAAATGTGCTCCTCGAGAGACAGTTGTGATGATCCCATCCTCCACCAACTCGTGGATTTCACCCCTCGTTACCTCGGTGTATTCGAAGGCGAGCTGGACCAGGGTCGGAGTATCTCGTACATGAAACTCGAGGATCTTTGCGGAGGCTTCAAACAGCCCTGTATCGCCGACATCAAGATCGGGAGGATCATCCACGACCCTCTGGCGTCAAAAGAAAAAATCGAGATCTCAAAAAAACGCTACCCTCCGCAGTTGACGATCGGATATCGACTCTTAGGAATGCGGGTTGTCGAACGAGGACGGTGTCATGTGTATAGTGCAGAGTTCGGATTGGAACAGACGGAAAAAAGTATCCCGGAGGCCATCAAAACATTCGTCGCCGCCAACGTCGACTGCGTTCCCGCGATTGTAGAGGAATTACGGAAAATCCTGCAGTGGTTCAAGAGTCAAGAGAGATTTACGTTTTATTCGAGCTCGATACTTTTCGTTTACGACGCAGTCGAGCTCAAAACCACCGTTAAATTAATCGATTTCGCGCACGTCTTCCCGGCGACGGGTGCCGATGAAAACTATATCTATGGCTTGGAGAAACTCTTGGATCATTTCTGCATGGCGATGGATAAGCTATGAACGCCGCAGCGGAAATTTAGTACCCACGCCATCTCCGAAAAGTCGTCTTGCGGCACCTCGGAGCACCGACGGGTGCGTTCATGGTGCTACACGCGTGGATCCTGGAGTTCAGGAGCTCGGAGATCGTCAATCTCAATTACGTACATATGTATTTGGATTGTGGAAAACTCTTCCTACCTGAGAAAGAAAATAATCTCGCCGCATCCGATTCGGTTGATGCTGCCAAAGACGATGATATCCTTCACCGGACCGGACGGTCGAAACGCGGATCATTGGTCCACCTGTCGTCCTATTCAATCTAAGAGCGATCCTCCTCGTGAGCGTGCCGATGTGCGTCGTTCGGTAATTGAATGACGTCGCTTGTGGACTAGAATATGTTCTGGACTGACTGAGGCGAAATCGGAGAGCCACAAACATACGACCGATCTATTCTGAGATTCCGAGTCAAAGACTGTTATCATCATGCATTCGAAGTATTATTTCCTGGCCTTCTCACAAGAGCCAAGGTCTCCCGCCCGCAAGTTGTCGATGCTTCGGGAAACTTTCATCCGTGCTTAGCTAATTCGGATTCTGGCGAATAGGGTATTGTGTATTAGTGAGGGAGTTGTAAACGAAGCTAGAAATCAAAGGATAAGTCATCGTTGCGTCTGATGCGACGTCGAGCGAAATTCCCATCTATAGCATTCTGACCCGAGGACTCACTCTTCCTCGATCAAGAGGGAAACAAGATGGGATGCCGCTCATGCTCGGTACCAGAGTTCGATGAGTCTCTTCAACAAAGTTATATACATGCATCGAGACATCTGTATAAACCCATGTGTTTAGTGAACTATTGAATTCTCTTTCTGTACATAGCGCTAACTCTCGAATCGTACGGGTGCAGTAGCCTCGTATCCGTGAGTCGAGGGTTGATTGATCCCAAGTTCAGACGCGTGAGTGAGAGTGTGTAATCACTAATCACTCATTCAGAAAAGAGAGTTCCGCTCCACTCCTCTTCCTTGAAGCCTTCGTGAATGGATAGGTAGGAAATAAACAGGTTGAGTGATCGAGTAGGATAAGCGGACGGATTTGCGACCAGCAGGTTGGAGCGTCGTACCGTCAAGAGATACCAGTCTGAGCTGCAAGGGCGAGACGAGCAGTATTCAGGAACCACTGTCAAGATTTAGAGAATGGGGAAAGAGTCCCGAGTTTCAGATCGATGTTTGAATGATCGAACCCACAATAAAGTGATATCGATGTTTTCGAATAATGGTCGTTCTGCTTCGACTATTCAAGCATTGTCCGTGTGCTAGAAATATGATTTCGCTAGCTCGAGCCGTCTACGTGCGTTTCTTGACCTATTTTCTGGAGCCCAGTTCCGAAGATCATACGATACGCTGGGAACACGTCGTGCGACGAGGAAAATCGTTCTCGGCGAAGCTCGTGATCGAACGGCTATAATCCGGTGGAAACTTTCGACGCGTGCTCCATGACTGCCCCTTGGCGCTTCCACGCGACGAGTTCGAGCAATCGATCTTCCCGAGCTTGTCGATCAGTCGAAGCGCAGAACGTCGGCGATCTCGAATAGAAATCGATTTCGGAAGCGGCTGCGTGCGACACCCTTGCGGTCCAAAACAGGTGATTTTGGATATGGATGTGGACACCGGAGGAACCTCCTCGGCGCATAGGAATATATTCTGGAGGGAAGACTCGGCTTGAATGTGACATCCTGATGCGTGGGAGTGGAAAACCCTAGAATATTTGGGATGTTGGGAGAATTACTGGTGCTCTGACTCGACAGTCCTACGGAAGTCCAATGAGAACTTCCAGGCGATTGGTCTGATGAGGAGCTTGATAGATGCGCTGAGATACGCCGACGACGAAATGTGTCCTTTCCGAGGGTCACCAAAGGAAGATCAGACGATTCTCAGCCATTCGGGGATTGATTTTCTGGTCTGATAGAGGCTCTACGGCTCGTCGGATTTATAGCGAACGATGTTGATCGGGGAGAGATTCAAGATGAGTCATGATTATGCGTTTTTCTTGCAGCTGCACTGGAGTCAAGGAGCACGACGCTGGAGACATCATCAAATACCACTGCCCAAACTGCCAGCTCGCTCATGGTCCCTCGAAATGTGAGTGTGACTAGGACTATCATGATGCTTCGGTATTAGGTATGCGCGACGCTACTGTTCTGTCGTTCATCGTTCTGTTTGCGATCGTCGTCGATAATCACAGGGCGCGACAGACTGCTCTTCATTTCGGTTTCGCGCTCAATCTCGGCGTCGTCGCAAGATAAAGAGAGATGCTTTCACGGAACATTTGCGTCACAGATCCATTTGTTCAGGTTTTGAGCTGCCGGAGAGCTCCACAAATGGCATGAAGACGGTACAGGTAGAATCGCTAAGCAGGGAAAGAAGGGAAAAACATCACCGGAACCGAAAGTCCTCTTCGGGTTAGAGTTTTTGCAAAGATCGCCGATCGTTCGCGGGCAGCCGTATCAGAAGTTGCTTTCTCCATCTTCCGAATAGTCGATAAGTAGACCCCTGCCGATTCTGACGCCCGCCGCCTGTTGACATTCGACGTTCCTGCCTTTGTTAGCCGCGATCGAGAATCAGCCGCCGGCTCTGACAGCAAGCTGTGTTTTCCGAAGACGAGCCGCATTCGGATGTCTATTGTCAACCTGTTTGACAGCTCAAAGCGTCCCCACCGATATGTGGGCGCTTTCCAGAAACCTTCAATGTCATATCTTCATGTGATCGACAAAAACGTTGGATACCATGATGTCCTCGAAGAAAAGTCACATGCACCTACGTTTATCGACGGAGGAATATATTTCAAAACCACTGAGGGTGATTCTCTTCCAGGGAAAGTCAGAACAAACTGGCATCGCCATGATTACAGCGACCCTCTTGCGGATGGCAAGAAAGTCCAGTCGGGAACGCACGTGTTCGTCCAAGAACTTAAAAATCGCAAATTCAGAAGGTCGGTGATCTTCGGTTCGGAATCTTCGTCTCTCTTAGAAGTCTTCGCTCAGGGTATCGGAGATGGCGAATGCCGAGGCGCTTGAAGATAACATTGACATTTTCGCTGTTTAATTGCAGCGGGCACGAAGTTACCACAACATTAGCCGCACATCAGGTCACAGTCGATTATCTCAGAGAAACATCGTTTATGAACCCCATCCTGGTATCGGAGAAAGAAGATTTGGGCTTGACAGTGCCGCCAGACGATCTCACAATCGGGGACATAGTGGACTTCTTGGGTGCTGAGCTCATGATTGACGTAATCGATGTCTTGAAGCAAGAAAGCACCAAAATGACGCTTGGCGAGTTCGCTGAGTACTACACGTCGTACAACAGGACCAAAGTCTTCAATGTCGTATCCCTCGAGTTCACGGAGATGAGGTGAAATTATTTTCCTCCTCCCGCTCTCTCTTCCATGTACCTACATATATTGTTCATTGTCATTGACGCCAGAGAGGATTGCTACCGTATCGGAGATTCCGAAATCTCATCCGTGGAGGAGAATCGAACCCTCTGAGGCAGCCCCGAATGGTCCCTAAGCTTACGCCTCCGGCGTGGATTCCGGCATCGGAAGCAGATCCGACAGAGATCTGTAATGAGAGCGAGGCGTTGAGTCAACGCACGATCACGATGTGTCATATTGATGAAGAATCTGATTTTCATCTGCAGGCTATCAGAATATGTCCGGCCACCTTCTCTCGTGACAGAGATCAGCTGGGTGGAAAACTGTTGGCCGAAGAATCTCAAGCGTGCGAACAACAATCCCAAGCCCGCCGTAATGAAGTACTGCCTCATCGGGACGGAAAACAGTTACACCGATTTCCATATCGATTTCGGAGGAAGCTCTGTGTGGTACCACGTTCTCCAGGTAAATGCCTCCGGACGTATTCTATTCTTGCCCCCTCCCTCCGCTGACGGGGTCAGAGAGAGCTCTGCAATGATTCGATAACGATGATATCCCCTCTAACGAACAGTTTGGGAATTACAGGGTGAGAAAGTATTCTACCTCATCCGACCGACAGAGGACAATCTAGTGAAATACGAGCGGTGGATGGCCGCGAAAGACCAGAGCGAGATCTTTCTCGGAGACGAGGTAGATGCCTGCTTCCGCTTAGCTCTCCAAGCCGGTCAGACGCTGTTCATCCCGACAGGCTGGATCCACGCAGTGCTCACGACAACGGATTCGATTGTTTTCGGGGGAAACTTCCTCCATTCATTCAACATCGGGCTTCAACTCAGGTGGAGCATTCATCTTTGACGACACTTTGTCATAAACAACGTCGATAGACGGCGGCGTATGAATCTCTTCAGGAGGGCGAAATAGAAAATCACGTTTTCCAATCGATGGCCCGAGCTAGGAACGCTAGGTCCCGGGATAAGAGCGAATCATCGTGTACTCATGCGGTGTTTTCCAGCGTTTATGAAATGGAACAGCGACTCAATTGCCCGTCGAAATTCATGTTCCCGTCATTTGAGACCCTGAACTGGTTTGCGGCAGCTTCGGTCATAGAGCAGCTAAAGGACCAGTCCACTCGACCGCCGATGTATCTCGTCAACGGGGCAAAAGCGCTTTGCTCGGTTCTCCGCAGATGGACTCAAGGACCCCAGAGCAGCATAGAAGCCATCCCCAATTCTATCAACGTGCCCAAATTGATCAAGGTGAATATATGTTATTTATATCGAGCGACCGGGAGACCGACCGAACGAGCGGAGAGCAAACAACGCCAGATGAATATTATCATCTACCTCTTCCCATGAAAACTTCCCGTGATGGAGGCGGTGTATTCATTGTCATCTGAACGGTTTACAGGACCTATCGAAAGAAGTGAAGTGCGCCGAGAAGAAATTCGGCAAGAAGAAAGTTCGAAAGGAGAATCTCTCGGAGCAGCGAGAATCACAGCCACTGAAAATGAACCTGAAGAGTCCCGCCGCTGCGTAAGTGAACTGACGAACTGAGTTCATTAGATTCCTTGCGAGCATATACCGAGATACCACTCTGAAGTGGCTGTCGAGCATGCTCAGATCCACTTCGGATATCGAAGACGCCTCGTATCATGAGTCAAGAGCTGCAGTCTCCAGGATAATTTATTAGTTCCTTGGAATTTCCTGCAACCTTTACCATGCACACAGAGTCTTGTAAATCACAACTAGGCCCTAGATTTTAATACAGTCAAGCCGGTCGTTACTCGTTGGTGAGCTAAATCAAATCGCGCAGCCGATATGTCTTTCATGACGGAAGCTCCCAGCAGTAAGTCCAAAGAGTCACTTAGTCACTACTCGGAATTCGGGAAGCCTTGTTGCAAAAAATGATCGACGCAATTTCCAGTTGATAGTGTGGACTCGGTGCATCTGTCCCTAATCGCGTTTCAACTCAATATCACATGACAGGGGGAATCTCCCTCTCTCACTACCTATTTCTCGATTTTCCGTCTCGAGTCCGTCTCCCAAGACTTCCATCGGTGAACAAGAATCCTCTCATATCACACGGTCTGAAGCGTCTGATGGCTCTCTGGGCCTGATAGACTCGATCGCAGTTTTGAAGATCGGCTGTGATTCCAGATCTCGACGGTGAATTTGAGCGACCTGCATGCGCATTTTCACAAAATCTATTCCTGTTCCGAGGAGACGAACATCGATGGCAATCCCGCCCGGTCGAATCGGAAAAAGAGAGATGTCCTTAGAAATGAACAATTCAGGTATTTCTCGCAGTGGAAACTTCGTTGTTCGCGTTATGTACAATCCTGACTCGTCGTCAGTTTGGAGGATTCGATTATCCTGCCGACTTGCCACCTGTGGACTATCTAGAGGGCATTGAGCCTTAGCGAACGGAACATTTGAGACTAGCCGCTGCCATATCATCTCGTCACTACGCGATGCTGCTGTCAGTTTTCAATTGAAAATTGGAAGCTTGTCGGATTCCATGAAGTCAAGTCTCTTATGCTTCTCGGGGAGAACATGTACAAAGTTTAGCTTGGATTGAGAGGAGCGCGAGCTGGCAAGGAGTAAGGGATCTCGCGAGTGACGTGTTCCCCTGAGCCCAGGGAGAGCACCCTCTCATGGGATTCTGCTGTCTTTCCTAGCAAACAACATTTACACAATTACACTATTTGTCTTAATTTCCGCAGGCCGGGCTTACTGCTCTAATATACATTCTTCGAAGTTCGAAGTCGCAGTATTCGAGGGTGTTGCAGGAACTTCGGCTTCGTTGTCCGATCTGAGGACGTTCATGTTGAGATGGATCCCGGCCTGCGCTAAAGCCTCTCGGAAAACATTGTTCTCCTGCTGGGAAACCTCGTATTTGTGCCGCAGCTCATCGAGGTCCTCTTTCAAGCGCTGAGTTTCCTGGAAGACAAAGCCTCGAATCATTCCCCGCTGAATGTACATATCGAGGATACTTTCGAGAGTCCCATGCGGATAGACTTGGCGCAGGATATCGCGATTTCTCACCTCGAGGAGCAAATCGTATTTGTTGCCTTTGTCCTTCAATTCGGCTATGTAGTCACATGCTTTACTAAGAATTCCGCCTTTGGATTGCAAAGTTTGATTTTTCGCCGAGGCCGTCGTCACCGCTACCTCAGAATTCCGACAGTCGGGTATGATACGGCTGAGACGCATAATCCATAGATTGATTTTATCTCGCCGTCTCCGTTCGACCTCATTGTGCGTGGCGCGTCGACGCTCATCTCGCGCTGGAATGAGCGAGGCGAGAAGTTAAAATCATTTCTAGCTGATTGTATGTATGTGAGCCGATCAACGGTCATGGAGCCGTGAGTGGTCAATGCCCGTAGGGCTCCACGAGAGCTTCTGAATTCTTGGAAATTTGATCTTGGTCCTCTGATCGATCAACGCGCACCTGTTTTGGTTATACGAGGGGCTGGGTGGCTACCGGGACTGGTTTTCGATGGGACGATTATCCGAGGTGGAGTTGTCTGGAACCGACGTTTCTTGATTCGTAACAAATGAAAGTCACAGTGCGCCGAGATTTCGCGGCAGTCTTCAGGTACAAAGAAAATTTCTTGTGCATTCGGCACGGAATGATTCCTCCTCATGCGGCTGGATTACGCTACTCTGATCGATTACGTCGTGGAGTCGATAGCGACTTTCTGCAGATGCCTCGCATGAGATAAGAGAGAACTAGATCAAATATTCCGCTCACGTACTTCACAAAATGTCTGGAACCTCTAGCTACGCGCATGGAGGAGCATCTTATCCGTATCCCACGATGAGGAAAATAGTATATTCCATAAAGTCGATTCGCGGACCGAGCGATCGCATGGACGTGGGCGATCCTTCCACTTTTCCATCGGACTGCCGGGTATTGGTAACTCACCGTTATAACGTTTTCTGTGGGTTCCGAACTCATCATGACGTAGAAAGGTGCAGAAGTTGTAGAAACTTCGCCATTTTGAAAGGTCACACCGTTCCCGCCGACCAGCTGGACACTGGTTCCCTCAGAGACGGCGGCCCCTTCCGTCGACACCTGCAATGAGCGCGCAAGATGAACCACAAGTATCGATAGACTCGCGCGGAGTCCTCGGAGGGATTCACGTAGTGTTATACATCCCCAAACTACGAGCCACATTGCCCACGAGTTTTGGAGTTCCCGTGAGACACTGTAAGAGCTTCCATCGTCGACCACGACGAGATAAACAGAAAGACGCGCTGATAGATCATTGAGTGTTCGGTGACAAAGAGTGTCAGTCGTCCATACTGTGGAAGGACCGGTTTCCGCGACCTGCCGCATCATCCTTGCGGGGCACGCATATTTTCCTAGAGCCTTGTCTTGGATACCATTTGAGCGGGGAGATAGGCTCGATACGTCGGACCTCGATATCAGTTCCGACTCATGAAAAATCCGCCCGGGACGAATTGACTGGTAGTCAACATTCCGTGAGGCCGATTCGAATCGAGGACGACCCGCCCCTTACGCGGGGATACATGAGTCCGGCATTAGGATGCCGGATCACTTTCCAATCCGAGACCTATCTGAAGTCCTCACAATGCGGGCCTGATCTCACATCCGACTTCTGCCAAGCCAAAGTGCGGAATGCCCGGGCCCCGAGCTCCACCATGAGAACCGTCGCGCGCGCGCGTTCCCTCTCACAATCAGAAGCGCCTCGGCGCTGATTTGCGAAGGCGTTCAGCACTCACCTGGACAACTCGGTAGGTGACTCCATCAGCGCTAACTATTTGGGGTCCTCCGGTTAGATCATCGGTCAGCTGCCCTTTAGAGCCTTCCTCCAGGATGAAAGTTTCCATGGTCGAAGCCGACTGTATTCTCTAGCGCGAGCTATCTCAGAGGGGAAAACGCCGACTAATTCGATCCTCCTCCGATTTTCGTCCAGCCGGCGGTCCAAAAAGAACAGGGGTTGTTCTCCTATTCACAAATAGAGGTCCATGCACGACTTCTGACCATAATGCCCGTTTGCGCGCCACTGTTTGGTCTCGAGAGGAGTCGGCAAAACAGATCGCCCTTGCATAGATAATTGTGATCTCCCTGAGTGCTCAGAAAATGGTGAAATCCAGAAGAAGGAACACCTGCGCTGCAGTTGGCTGAACACTTCCCACTACGAAGCTACCCGTAGGTGCTCTGCGTTTTTTTCCTCTCTCTGTCTCTCTCTCCCTGGGCAGGGTTCGGCCCTTGGTGGTCTCGCATTAAGCATGTGCTTTTTGGTTTGTCGGCTGGCGATTTAGACTGGATGGCTGGCTGCTCCTGCTGATTGATGTTCTCCACCTCCACGCTAGCAGCACCACTCGCTAGAAGCCCTGTGTGTGCTTTTTGATCACGGGAACAAACACGAGGTCATGTGACTGGCCGAATGGAAAGGAGGAATCTGTCTCCGCAGTATGCGTGTTCACGTCTGCTTCCTTAATGCTCCCACAATAATGAGCGACTTCATGGGCTATTCGATTCGCCTTTGGCTCGAATCACTCTGGGGAGCAGCGGTCGAATGCTTGTTTTGATGTAGCTCCTCACCCGCGATCAGAGCCATTAACGCTAGGCCAATCAGAGCTGCGCGCGCATCCGCTTCACAACTTCCCGGGAACTGAAAATTTGTTTTCGATGCAATGCCCCAGCATTGCTGTGTGGGGAAGTCTTCTTCTCGGGATAGTCGCGTTCCGAATCGGGAAATGTGTTCGAGGCGTCGCTGCTCTTCACATTTCTCCAAGACAATATTTTGGCCGATGCGGGCCTAGGAGGCGCCGCTGCTTTGGCGGAATTTTTTGAATTCTTCAGCTGACTCGGGGATGGTGACAGCAGCACTTCTCTCACAATCAAAAGCACCGGTGGTTCCGCGTGTGGCTGCGGAGATCGCAGAGATTGTGGCTCTCATGATGAATTTTGGATGGTGGTCGTCACCGGATCATCCCGACTGGCGAATATTGTGAAAAAGATGCTGCTCGCTCCCGCTTCAAGAATTCATGATTGCAATACGACGGCGAGCTTCTGACCGCGGACATGCCGAATAAGTCGAAGAAAAAGACGCAGAGGAGGATTCATTTCCGCAGATGCGTCGTCCTCGGCTGTGGCCGCACCTCTCGGAATTCCGCTAGTGACGTCAGTTTTCACACGCTGCCCAAATCGACTCTAGGATGGGTGCGAACAAATTGCGCCCAATATCTTCCGAGTGGTGTGGATTTCTGCCGGGTTTTTATCTGTTCAAAGCATTACCATTCATCGTATCTGAACGTCACGCCCGCACCGGGGGCTCGACGACTTCTAACAACAAACGCCATTCCGACGATATTCCCGCCGTTCTCCGGCGACGGATGCTCGCAAGAGATGAGCCGGGTGGAGGAGGCTCCTCCGGAAGGCGGGAAGGACACCGATGTCGAAATTTTGGAGTCCTCGTCGTCCGACGAATCGGAACTGCCGATCATACCACCGCTCACGGCGGGAGCAGTGCCGCCGGCCATTTTTTCGGATGCATCAAGCTCATCTTCCAGTGAGACTCCTTCCCCTTCCGAGCCCGAGGAGCCGGATGAGCAGACGACGTGCCGTCCCAGGAGAACAACTAAACCTCGTCCATCTGCACCGCCGACGGCGGCGGCGGATCTACCTGCAGTCGATGCGCTCCGCCTAGCCGTCGAGAATATCTCGCTGCAATGTGACCGCGTGGTTGACGTACTCGATCGAATCGATCACCGTCGTATTCCTCGGGAGCTTCTGATACCGCTCCAGGACCTGGTGGAGAAAATCCGGTCGAGCTCACAACAGCGGAAACGTGCTTCAGTGGAGGCTTCTATCGAGATCTTCGAGGACGACATAAGAATACGGGAGGATCTGCTGCGATCAGATGAGAACAACGATGAGGACAGTAATCCTGCACCTGCGTTTTCTGTAGCCGAACCCATTGAGATTCACGTGACCACCGACATGTGTCATGAAGGCATAAATTTCCGGCATCACCGACTGAACTATTAAACCTTTCACGGTGCAAACTTGGAAGCAAACTCGACAAATTCATCAGATGGTTCCGAATAAGTGACAGTCAGTCCACTCGACTCGAGACCGAACGGTTCATCGCCATCCGTCCATATCGGTTCAGAGCTCTCTATACGACCGGGCTGCCCCTGTTCGTCTGCCGCCCCATCGCGAAGTCTTGAGATTCCCGGAAGCTTGACTGGTTTCCTCGCATATCCATTCATTCCGAAATTCGTGGTGCATAGTGTCGAGTCCGTGGACGGAAGAGAGTGAGCAATCAGTTTGAAACTAAGTTCTACGTGTCACGCCGGACGACGAGCATCGATTGTGATTGGACATGTTTTCCGTTTTTGCAGGATGTACGACTTTTCTTCTGATGACGAAGGACGCTTGGTTGTGGAGGAGAACGCACCATCTATCGTCCCCACTCTGCCATCGATATCGTCGTTCGGAAAGAAAGCGAAGAAGATCCAGAATTCGCCGAAGGCTGGCGGTCTCAAATTGCGTCTATCGAGTAAGTCCTTTCCGATGGAATACTTGGAGCTAATCCGATGGATCATCGGTATTTGAAATTTCCCTCTCCCCAATTGATATCTATCATTCATCGGTCATTGAAGCAATGATTTCACTCATCTTCAGTCGGCAGTGGACCCAGCGGGAATGCGCGGACATCGAAGAAAATTGATTGCCTCAATATTTCACACACTGCGTCTGACACCGACGATCTCGGCTCCCCGGAACAAGAGCAGGAAGCTATCCAGGTGGGTGGGCTAGTGATGAACTACTCCCATCCCCGGAGCCCCGCGGAAGTCGCTAATAAGCAGCCCTCTACTCGGAGCTGTTTGGCATGTGTCTCAGGCTCGCTTGAACTTACAGGGTATGCTGAGTATGTCTGGTACGTTCAACTTCAGTGGTGGAACAACTGTTTCTCACGACGAAGTTAGGCGAAGCAGAACTTCCGGAAACTTGGAAAAGCTCAAAGAACGGCTGAAAGCTAAACGAGCAGCATCGTCCGCTACCGGCTACGACGAAGAAGAGGACGAATTCGAGAGAGCCTTGAAAAACTGCAAGCCAGAAGACGACTTCGGTGAGTTTCAGATTATGTGCCATCGAACGCGACAATCTCCGATCCATTCGTCGTCATTTGGATCGACGAATTCCAATGATTCGCTGACTCGACTCTCTATTCAGTATACCTCGGAATCGATGCAAATGACGAGGAGACGAAAATATTCAAAAGGCGCGGGAAGACGCGCGGTCCGCAACGCCACGACGAAGCATGGAATCCCAAAGGAGTGTCTCTCAAAGGAATCATGAAGGGGGAGAGACCCCAGCGCGAGGGTGTCAAGAGGGAAGTTATGGAGAGTACTCTAGCCGAGAGCAAGAAGTTCGTGGGCCCGACCACACCATCGGTTACAAGAGAGCGTCGCGAACCCATACGAAAGAAGAAGATTCCCCCCACGCCTCGGATCAAAGAGGAAACGATCAGCGAGCCACGAGGTGAGATTTAGGACTACTCGGTTGATCCTGTGTAATGTGATGACACTCGAGATGTTCGTGAGACAACTGGCTTTTATTGTGATCTTTGCTCTGGTCTCGAGGCGTCGCGCTGTGGCGCCTAACATGTTCTCTCTTTATTCTTATTGTATTATTGCTACGATTCTGTATGATGTCGAGTTCTTTGTGCTCGCTAGGCACCCTAACCATTCGGGGCCTTCCATTGGCTCCTTGATGTACTTTACAAATGAACCGCTCTTCTGAACAAACTGTTGAACTGTTCTCGTACGTCTTGGAGTCTCTAAGAATCGGATTGTGCTAATGGATGTTAGATGGTATTATTCAGAGTATCAACCTGGCCGGTGTCAGGATGGGTCTTCCATAACGGGATGACGTGACACTTTTCGGTGTGCGCATTTCGACGTCTTGTCTTTGCGTTTGTGATGCTGCTTGCGCTCGGGATTTTGTATTTGAGGCTCCGCTGCCCCCCGTCTTCGGTCGCTGTCCCATGATTTTTCGGACTTTCGAGACCGGCTCATTTTTTCGGGCTCGGAGTGTTCTGTTGTTCCGAATCGGTGTCGACGCCGGACG